TTATAATACAGGGTGTGTCAATACTATACTTACTTATGTTTATGCGTTTTTATTCATATCTCGAGTTCAACAAAAGCTATTACCATGCGGTTTGCGCCATTTTGTTACGAATTTAATGCAATTCCATTATATTTTTCAATAAATAGGTGTTTCCATTAAATATTTTGAAGAAAAACAAATTGTAATTTTTTCTATTCGAAAGTACCCTTTACCTACGACAATTAAAACTAAATGCAATTATTTTATAGCAGATGTAAATTAATTCATCCATATTCTTTTTAATGAAACTAATTTTGTAAAAATCGGTTTATCCAAACCAAAGTTATAGGTATTTATCCACAAATACTTTCCCACTCTCCCCCAGCCTTTATTTGAAGAAATAAAAAAAGTACTTTGTGCACAACTTTGTGCAGAATTTATACCTCTTTCTAGTTTACTTATTTAACACTTGGTATAACTGGACATATTTCCCAAAAAACTGGTTTTCAAAGTTTTCTTCACAGGTGACGCCCCCTAGCGGTTAATCCAGAAACTTGAAAGTTATTTCCAGCGATTTCTCTTGGCCAATTTTACTAAGGAATTTTTTCTCCTAAAGGTATAACATTAATAGTTTCTGATATATAGCCGAGAGATCGGCTTATTGGACCACCCGGTACATGTATTTTATCTAGGAGGATCTAGAACATCTCATAACTCACTTCCGCTGATGAATCGACCTAGATTATCTACTCATATTTTTATTTAAAACGAAGTAGCACGCATTTTTTGTTTTAATCGCCATTTTAAAGTTACAATTAAGAGTTCAAAGTCATCATTTTTTTGGAAATATCCATAATATATTTTATCAAAATTAAAAATTAAAAAATTCAAACCGAACCGGGATATCGCGAGTTCAATATAAAATTTAATTAAAAGTATAGGATTATCCAATTGTACTTTTACAAACATTTTGGTACCAATCATACCCCTCGTTAAGATGGGTAAAATGCCGTCAATCTCTTAAATGCAGAAGTTAATTTTTTTCGAAATTTTCTTAGTTTTATGGACTTTAAAATAGATCAAAATTAAGGTTTTTTGTGTGCTATGTTATATGTTCTAAATTAAATGAGTACTTTGGGATATTCAAAAAATTGGTTGAAACACCTTTAAACCCCAAAAAACATGTTTTTCGCGGTTTTTAGGGCTTGTGGCGGGATTAAATTTTATGACATCGACATAACCTTAATCAATTTTCTCATATTTTTACTTTCTATTTGATTAAGAAATAAGACTCGGCACAGTTTTTTTATTTTTATAGACGTATAGGTTGAGTGTACATAACCTAAAAATGTATTTTTTTTTGTTTTTTTTTAAGCGTATAACTTTTATTTTGATAACTGCAGGTTTGTATGTTTGACCAAAAACTATATCTCTGATTTTCTTCACATGTTTTCATGTGGTGCGATATCTTTAAAAATCCCAAAAATTGTTTTTATTCGGTGTTTTGAGAGGTTTTCTCCATTTTAAAAAGTTCAAAATGGATTAAACTAAGATTTTTTTTAGAATATATATATATATATATATATATATATATATATATATATATATATATATATATATATATATATATATATATATATATATATATATATATATATGACATGAGTTAAAGTATTAAGAAGGTTGAACTATTGATTAGCGCAGCCAGAGTGTCGTATGTAGCACCAAAAAATAAAAGGAATGAAGCGATCCGTTATATAACCGAAAATAAATGCAAAAGCATAGCAGATTATAAAATAATGAATTTTAAAACAAGGGGACACTCCTTTTGTAAATAATTTGTACAATATTTGACAACATTTTATGCTCTCTAGTAGGTAGCGGGTAACACTCCTTCCTCTACGGACCCGGTAGAGGACAAGCTGCTACAGGGAGTGGCGTCCCTGCCGTACGCTAGCTACGGACTTTCTCTTATGTCCAAGCCGTTAGGAGAGGTCAGGTCCCCAACCTATCTTCCTAACATTTTCCAATCTTTATCACATCCCGATATATCCCGCTACCTACCCGCACTACCCAGCGTTGTAGTGAAATGGTTAATTTTCCCCGTAAAGGACATGATTCAAACTAGAAAAAGGCCCTTAGTCCCTGGCGGCCTAACGGTCCCTGGTGACGTAGCCACCCGATTGGACCAAGGGCAAAGGGTGCAAAGAATCACCGGGATAGACACGGCTACCATGGACAACGAACATTGCATATTGCCACTTATAACGTAAGAACGCTTGTAACCGAAGATAAGCTCATTGAATTACAGGAAGAACTTAACTGCATAAAATGGGATGTATTGGGACTTTCCTAAATACGAAGAAATAGGGAAAACCAATTAGTTTTAAAATCAGAAACACCTAGATAAAATTATAAAATAGAAATTGTAAGCTCAAGAGTTGTGTACCTCATATTAAAAGTAAACGAGGGACGCTCTATTAAAATTATTCAAGTATATGCACCCATGACGAGCCATAGCGATGAAGAAATCGAAAACTTTAATGAAGATATAAATAGAGCTATAGAAAAAGATAAAACTCACCACCTAATCTTAATGGGCGATTTTAACGCTAAACTTGGATTTAAAGAAGATACCGCAGAAGTGGTTATAGGCTCATTTGGATGCGGTGAGCGAAATGATATAGGAGGTGTGCTACTACATTTTTTGTTGCATCATCGGCTCTATGTGATGAACACATTCTTCAAAAAGAACCAACAACGTAAGCGGACGTGGGCTAATCCAAATGACATAACAAAAAACGAAATTGATTTCGTCATCACAAACAGAAAAAATATTGTCCAAGATGTTACGGTAATTAATAAAATCATTGTTGGGAGTGACCATCGGTTGGTTAGAGCAAAAATAATGATCAACATTAGACAAGAGAGGACAGCAATGATAATAGAGAGGCATTTTAATAAATGGAAATTGATAGAAGATAGAGTAACTCATCAAAATCTCATAACTTCAGAACTAAAAGAAGTAGAACATCTTAATGAAAATGCATTAAATATAGAGGTGACAAACATGCGAATAAATAGTGCGATTCGAAACGCTCATGGAAAATATAAGGAAGAAGGAAAAAACAAGATGGATAAACTCACTCAAGCTACTAAAGATCTTATAAACAAAAGAAGAGAATTGAAAGACAAATACACAGATAATTTTGTAACACTTAGACAGTTAAACAAGCATATCACAAAATTCATTCGAAAAGATGTCAGAAATTACAACACTGAATGCATAACTCTAGCCATTGATAAAAATAAAAGTTTAAAGGTTCTGCGCCGACAAATGACTGAAGGATCGAAAAATATTTGTAAACTATAACAAATAAGGAAGAAATTTTAAAAATTGCTCAAGATTTTTACTCAGAATTGTAAAAGCGAGAAGAACTTCCAGATCCTGATCAAAATCAAATACCAAAAGTTCAAAATGTAGGCTCAGAAGACATCCCAGATATCACAACAGAGGAAATAAAATCAGCTCTCTCGGAGACGAAAAACAATAAATCACCTGGAGAAGATGTGATAGTCAGTGAACAAATCAAAGAAGGAGGAGTTACGTTACTAAATGTGTTAAAAAAGATGTTCAATGCTTGTTTGACAAGAGGCGTAAACCCCTCCCAGTGGCATAATGGAATAATAACCATAATGCACAAAAAAGGTAACATTTCAGAATTACTGAACTACAGACCGATTAGTTTACTCTCCCATACATAAAAACTATTCCTAAAGATAATAACAAAACGACTTGTAAACAAACTGGATAGTTACCAACCTTGTGAACAGGCTGGGTTCCGCTCCAGATACGGAACAAATGATCATCTGTAAGTTATAAAAACGCTAATAAAAAGATGTACAAAGTATAACAAGCCTATCTTTCTTATATTCGTAGATTATGAAAAGGCGTTCGATACTATAGATCATTATAAAATGCTTCAAGCATTGGCTGACTGCCGCATTGACTACCGATATATTGCCTTGGTACTGGTACAGCTTGTGTCCGCCTCCATGAAGATACCAAGCAGTTTCGAATAGAACGTGGAATTAGACAGGGTGATACTATCTCCCCTAAATTGTTTACAGCTATTCTTGAATATATGTTCAAGCAAATGGAACGAGAGCATAATATGGGAATTAATATAAAAGGGGAAGATCTGAACCACCTAAGATTTGTCGAGGACATCGTTTTAATATCTAATAGAGTTGATAAAGCTACAAAAATTTTCCACACGCTCTATAAAGTGTCAAAAACAATTGGTCTTAAAATTAACACATAAAAGACAAAATTTATGACTAACCTTGTAGTTAGCGGTAAAATTCTCATTGAGAGCCACAGCATCGACCAAGTAATAGCTTACAAATATCTAGGCCATGAGATTCGCTTAGGCCGAGATAATCAGACAACTGAAATACAAAAAAGGATAGGTCTCACATGGGCTGCCTTTGGTAGATTAAATACCATTTTCAAGTCTAGTATCCCCGTTTGTCTAAAAAGAAAGGTTTTCAACCAGTGCGTTTTACCGTTTCTTACATATGGTGCAGAAACACTGACTCTGACAAAAAGAACAATAGATAAAATAAGAGTTACACATCGTGCTATGGAAAGATCAATGTAAGGTATTACCATCAGAGATAAAGTACCAAACCTAGAAATAAGAAGAAGAACAGGAGTCACAGATGCAGTTAAAAAAATAGCCATGGCTAACAGACATGTTGCCAGATTAACGAATGATAGATGAACCAGAAAGATTCTGGCAAGATGCATATCAAAGCAGAGGATGACCACCGACTAGATGGACGGATGATATCAAGCGCATCACCACCAACTGGATGCAAGAAGCTCAAAATAGAAATAGGTGAAAAATTTTACGGGAGGCCTACGTTCAGCAGTGGACAAATATAGGCTAATTAATGATTTTATGCTGAACGTATAAAACTATTAAAGTCCTATGTTTTACAACTAGTTTACTTACCTTAATAGCTTGGTTGTCTGTGTCGAAGTTTCCTTGTCTCACTCTATTGATTTCTTCTTGAGTTACGCCGGGAATATAAATGTTACAGTTGTCGTGCCAAGTTTGAAAGTCGGTCTTCAATGGTTCACCGTAACTCTACAAACAAATAGTATTAGCTAAATATCATAATAAAAATATATATATTTATATATATATATATATATATATATATATATATATATATTATATATATATATATATATATATATATAAATATATATATTTATATATATATATATATATATATATATATATATATAAATATATATATTTATATATATATATATATATATATATATATATATAAATATATATATATATATATATATATATATATATATATATATACGGTGTGATTCTTTGAGAGTTCTAATTAGACGGAATCTTCTTCTTCTTCAAGTTCCACTCCTATCGGAGATTGGAAATCATTCTGGCAATTATAATTTTATTGGTTACTCGCCTGAATAGTTCAATTGAACTGCATCCAAACCACTCACGGAGATTGCGTAGCCACGAGATTTTACGTCTTCCTACGCTTCTTTTACCTTTGATTTTACCCTGCATTATGTTCCTTAGTAGTTCGTACTTTTCACCTCTCATGATGTGCCCCAAGTATTCCAATTTCCTGATCTTTATGGAATTTAAAACTTCGCATTGTTTTCCTAGTTGTTCGAGAACTTGTTCGTTTGTTTTGCGATCCATCCATGATATTTTCAAAATGCGTCGGTAACACCACATTTCGAATGCTTCTAGGTTTTTAATGTTGGATTTTTTAAGTGTCCAAGCTTCAACTCCATACAAGAGGGTAGAGAAAATATAACATCGAAGCATTCTTATCCGGAGCGATATATTGATATCGCGATTACAAAAAAGTTTTCTCATTCTATTAAAAGTTGACCGCGCAATTTCAATGCGGCATCTTATTTCTTTTGTCTGATCAGTATCTTCTGTGATCCATGCTCCAAGGTATTTGTACGAAGATATTTGTTCAATTTCTGTATTATCTAGTACTAGCTTAACTTTGATGTTTTGTGCTTTTGTAAATACCATGAACTTGGTTTTCTTCAAATTGATTTTTAGTCCATAATCGTTGCAATATATATTTAGTTGTTCAGCAAGGTGTTGCAGTTCTTCTAGTGTTCCTGCCAAAAGGACGGTGTCGTCAGCATATCTTATGTTATTAAGTGGCTCACCGTTTATTATAAGGCCCTCACTGATCTCGGCAAGCGCTGAATCTTACTGGAAACGGAATCTTAACGAAATTAATACATGAATATTTAGGATGACGATTAATTAGATTTGCCGAATTTATAAGAAACAATTTTTGAGAGTTCTCTTATTATTAATGTGCTACTTTACATCCAGTTTTACGAGATTTGAACAATTTTATTATGGAAGTTTTCAATTTGACACCCTATATCTTTATAAGTACTAAAAGTGCGAACATTTTGTTTGGTACAATTCTTTTTGTATCTTTATTTTGATGAAATAATATTTATTATATAGGTGATTCAAAACGCGTGATTAGAAAATCCTTTAACTCAGCGATACTCAAAGTATGTTCTGCGGAACCTTAGAGTTCCGTGACATCCCTGTAGGAGTTCCGCGAGAATTTAGAAAAAAATTCAAAACTCTGGCACACTCTGGTCTACTGTTCTGATGCGGCGTAGCACGATTCACAAGGTGCAGTCGAACTTAGTTGCCACGTACAATTTTATTATGCCTGCTACTGCCCATATCTCTTGTGAGCGCGCAGTCCTCGACGACCGTGCCTGTACACTTGACACTTTGATACTTAGTCAGTCGCCGTTTATTCTACTGCTGTACTCTAATTGTATCGGTTTTGTACATTTCTTCTTTGGACTAAATTGCTCTGCAGTAGAGGTAATGGATTTTAACAAGAGCTAGGAGTCATGCCCATGCAGTACACAAGTTTACCTGTTATTTACAAGGTCATAGCTCTTGTCAAAATCCATTATCTATAACAGGAACTTAGTTTCCTAGTGGAATTTTATATCTTTTTCGTATCTTTAAATAAATCGGATATTTGCCTATATTTTTCAGTGTATTTACCAATCTACTACAACAGACTAATAACAAAAATAAACTTAATGGTTTGTAGTCATTTCAGAAGTATGTAGTTATTTTAGAAACATATCGTGGAATGATATTGACAAAACCGCTCAAAATCTCCATCTCCGATAAACGAAAGAGGGGCTTGCCTAAAGGCGGCCACTCACGATACAGCGGCGTTGTTCAACTTCGTTTTTAACTAAACAGTTGCTTTGATCAACGATTGCTTTCGATTATAGAAAATCGAAATGGCTTGATTTAGCGAGAATGTTTTAAGAGAGTTTTTTAAATTATATAAAAAAAATGGTATAGCGAATAAAAGGTAAAACGTATCACGATAGAAACGCCCGAAAACAGGCAATGGACATTCTAGTTTTAAAGTTCCAAGAAGTAAACAAAGATGCGAATGAAGAGTATGTAAGAAAAAAAAATTAACAATTTTAGAACATCCCATAAAAGAGAATTAAAATTAGCAATGCAGTCCAGTAAATCGAGTGCAGGGGCAGACGAGATTTATTCTGCACCAAAATCTTAAATTCTTTGCACCAGAATCAATACACAAAGTAAGAGACGCTAAAATGATTGTTTGATTTGACATGGTCGAGAACCGAACAAATACTGCGGCGCAGTATGGTGTGTGGGCGTACCGGATATACCAACAAATTGAACAACGCCTCTGTCCGATTATGTCAAACGACACCGCTGTACCGTGAGTGGCCGGCTTTAGGAAGCGATAGGTGGTTTGACTACCTATGAATGAGTTCTTGAATTAGTTCAGAATCCAGCAGTCCGCTGAAGTATTGGATTTTTATAATATAATTATTTGACAACCTTTTATTGGCCAACTACCAGAATTAAGCCGAAATTTATTTCGTTCAATCTGTATACTTTTTGACTTGTACTATATTTGATCTTAGATACCTTGACCGATATTTCTTTGCAAAACATATGACTATATTCCGTGAAAATTAAAAAGGAGTATTGCATTTTGTTGTGTATTATATTATTAAAACACACGAGGAAAGAAAATGTGTACCCTACAATTCACGAGAACAGTGTAAGAAAAATTAAAAAGAAATAATTTTATGGTTGTAAAAAATCTGTCAAAAATGATTTAAAAATAAATTTAAAAATGATATATCTTACAAAAAAAACAATAAAAGGCTAAGCTACTTACATTATAGGGTAATGCGGCATAAGATAACTGTGCCACACACAATACAGCGAATGCAATTAGTGCCTTTTGCATTTTAATTGTTCATGTAATCAAGTTGATATTTAGAGAGAGAAATAACCGTACTGAATACTGTTTAATGTATACTAACTCGCAGAATTCTTTTGATTATTATAATTGCCTTTTAATCGAAATTAAAATCTTATCATAAATATTGAAGGCATTTCCTATTTCCTTAAAAAGTTATAAAAATAAAATAGCAATGCCAGAATAGAATTCGCCAATTCAATAATTATTATGATAAGAAAATATGAGTTTAACCAGAACGACCAATTAGTGAGGTAATAGAAAAAAGTGGCAGAAAAATGTATTTAAAGACAAAGACCTACATAACCTACATAATCGTCTTCCCCCAGGTCTTCTTTGGTCTTTCTCTCCCACTCCTCCCAGGAACCTGTAGATTAGCAATTCTTTGTATTCGGTGATTAAAACCTTGACGTTAAGCATGACCAAACCATATTAACCTATGCTTCCTTTATTTTGGCGTCAATTAGTGCGACTAGTAGACTTTTTCTAACAATCTTTCTTAATTTTATCAATCAATCAATCAATCGATCAATCAATCAATCAATCAATCAATCAATCAATCAATTAATTATTCAATAGTGCCTAACACAGCAGTCAACAAATATTGATCAACATTTTCAACATATACCTCACCTACAGCATCTTTTACATTAACCTACAATGCTGTGAGCAATTTCAATTTACCATCTAAAGAACAAGCAATTGTTGTATCTTCAGCACAGATATAAAATTATAGATATAAAGAATACCAGATATAAAAAAAGGGAATATAAAACAAAAATAGGAATTTTAGTACCATCAAAAAACATCATTTTTGAGTCCAGAATGTCCGACACCAGGGCATGCATGTAATTTACTAACACTGCAACCATAGGAAATTTTCTGCAAAATCACAAATCCGTTTCAATACAAGGAAATGATATAAAGATTAGAATGTTAATTACTCCTTCTAGTCGACTAGTAACATCAAATGTGTGTCCCTGCATTCCAAACACTATTATCGAAAATGAGCTCAAAAATTGGAGCGTAAGTTTTCGATATAACTTTTCTGAAACTTGGCATGCCTGAATCCGAATATAGTTATATATTCGAATACTTTGGTCGTCAAGTATTTGTTGCCTCAAAAAATATGTTTAGGTAAAAATAAAACAAAAGATACAGTTTTTTAAACATTTAATTAAAAAATATAATTTTTTATTTGTTGTTTCAATGTTTCGAGGAACAAAAAGTATTATTTCAATTTTTTGTTTTTTGCCCTTACAAGAAGATGAAGTACTGAAATAGAAAAAAAAACTGTTTTATTATATAAAATAAAAATAATGCAAATAAAAATATACCGTTATTAATTACAAAATGTACAAATTAAACGTGTTTTATCGAACAACAGTACTAACAGATCCTTACAAAACTCAAGAGCGTGGACGTTGCACACCATGGACGTGGCTCTGATTAGTTCTTAGTCGGAATAAATTTTGTCACAGAAACGAAAAATTAAAACGTCTAGAAAAATAATTCCGAAAGAGAACAGCAGTAAACTAAAGTGTGAATACATAAGAAACAAATATATATACAGAGTATAATATTGAAGCTGCAATAAAATGAAATAAAGAAAAAATAGAATTAAACTGGAAAATAACGAAATACGTTAAAGAAAAAGCAAAATACATGTAAAAGGCAATGTTATATAATCTTGTTGAAGCCAACAAATGCTAAGCACTTAAAAAATAGTTTCATGAAATATTAATTCAAGATATAGAAAAATAGACTTGAAATAAAGAAAAATTAAGCCTTTGTACTAGGCAAAAGAAAAACAAAGAGGGAGATCAGGAATACGGTATATAATATACGTATATATATATATATATATATATATATATATATATATATATATATATATATATAGAAAAGAAATTTAATCTTTGCAGATAAGTTGAATAGTAAACTCTTAAATATTGGGGAAATCTGCAAGAAAACTCTCATGTGTATCAATTATTTCGCCTAACGTTTTCGCCAAAGAGAATTAATTTGGCTTCTTCAGGGCTGAAAGAGAATAAATTATAATTAGCTACCAATTATCTAATAAAAAACATTTACCTTACCATATATTTTAGAAATGTCGAGTTATGATGTTAAAAAACTTTAGCTATTAACAACATAGTGGTAGTAGTGGTGTAATATTAAATCAAAGATTCTTTTGAGATGGTAAATAAATATAATGGTTGCATATTACCATCTAATTATGTCCTCGTTAGCCTTGACGTTGTATCCTTATTCAGCAACGTTCATTTAGGAATATGTTTGACATCAATAGAGATCAACTGGGACCGTATTAGAGGTTGTTGTTCCATGTCTTATGAGAGATTCATCAGTATCGTCGAATTTCTCTTTAATAACACTTACTTCTCTTTTAATGGTAAATTCTATCAACAAACTTTCGGTACCCCTATGGGAGCAAAGATTTCTCCTATCATTGCAACTTACGTTATGGATTATGTGTTAGACTCAGTCATTCCTTTACTATCCTTTCAAATTCCATTTATTAAAAAATATGTTGATGATATAATTATAGCTATACCCAATGGCAAGGTAGATGAACTATTAGAAACCTTTAATAGTTATGACCCCTACATCCAGTTTACTATAGAGAGGGAAGATGGTAATTGTTCCGTCCCCTTTCTCGACATAAGGATGATTAGGGAAAACAACAACATTAAAATAGATTGGTTTTTAAAAACCGACACATTCTGGTAGATACCTTAACTACCACTCTTACCATAATAACTCTACCAAAGTCAACTTAATCAAACAGATAAAAAATAGAGTAATTAAACTATCAGACGCCCAAATAGATACACTTCTCTTCAAACAGATATTCCTAAAACACCTTGGTATAAGTCTTTTAATGTACCTAGAAAATATGTTACCACGATCATTAGACTGAGATTTGGACGTGCTTGTTACCCCAAACATTTATTTAAACTCAAGGTTTTAGATAATGATCGATGTGAATTTTGTACAGAAGAAGGAAACCTAGATCATATATTTTTCAGTTGCCCCAGAAATACTATAATTTCAGCAAGATTAATAAATAACTTACATAAATACAATATATTAGCCCCTTGGAACCTTCAGTACTTGTTATCACTAGACTCGAGACCAGTGTATGATTCCTTAGTTATGTTTTTAAAGGATAGTAAAATAACCATGTAAATAATTATGCATTAGTTAATAAGGTAACCTTTGTTTCTATCCCAATTGTCAAATTCCCCTCTTACCGTGGCCTAGTGTTGTATGTCTTAAAAAAAAATGCCTTGATGGGCCCCTAGGCGAGAAGAGAGTGACCCTGTTTACCTGTTCTTTGTTTTGTATATTTATTAATATAAACTCAGACAACTATTTTTTTACCATGTTGAGTCTGGTTGAATGACTAAAAGTCTATGCCAATAAAAAAAAAAAAAAAACTATCAGATCCTTCATTTCATACAAAAAACCTACAAATCCTTTTCAATCCTAAAACTTTTTATTTCAAACTCTTATCCAACACCATTAGTAAATAAGATTTCGTTTAACACTATCCATAACGAAGATACTTCACCTTCCATCGTGACTAACAATGCTGATCCTGATGTCTTAAGTAGGAACCCAGTCTCGGATACTCCTATCAATAAATATTTTTCATTACCCTATTTCAGAGATATCACTCCGGGGTTAACAAGAATTCTAAAAAGTTTTGAAAATAGCTTTGGCAATAATAATAATAACATTAAACTTAATGTGGCTTGTAGATCAGCCCTAACAATTAATAATCTTTATTCTAAGATAAAAGATAAGACTCCCATAGATAGGCTTAGTAATATTGTCTACAACATTCCATGACTCTCTTGCAGCAATTCCTACATCGGCCAAACATCTCAATTATTGAAATCACGTATTACACTACACAAAAGTGATTCTCGACTTCACCCTGACCGCTGTGCATTAGCCAAACATGTCCATTCCACTGGTCATCACATGGACTATACGAACACTACAATTCTCCACCGTGAGAACAATAAATCTAAAATAGAGTTCATTGAAATGTCTTATATTTTCCTTAACGATTTTTCCATCAATGTTAAGAGTGACATTAAGAATCTAAGCGATATATACCACTTCTTACTTAAATCAGATACCAAGAACAATACAACATCACAGATAACTAACTTGACTGATATATCTATTAACAACTAACCTACTTTAATAATAATTTTCATTAACTAAAAAAGATAACATTTCCTTGCTTTTCTTAGATACATCTCAATAAGATATTATTATAATAATACATGAACAATATACTAATTAAAAAAGAATTTCAATTAAGAAAATTCTAAACTAATATCTCTCCAAAATGGGATCTAACTTCATCGGTTTTACCAATAAACCTTAACGACATAGATATTCAAAAGCACTACTTGTAATTTTTCGGCGCTTGCGTTCTATGAAAACAGAAGCTCACATTCAAACTTTACAACAATCAAAAATTTAGTTATTGCCGACAATTCAAAGAATTACTTCCTTTAAATGTAGTTACATTGGGTTTTTCGATTAACCTTGCTACCCTACATTTCCTACAAAAAAATTAACAAATAAACTTTTTTGCACATAGTAACAAAAAAACCCCACTATGTTGTTACTAGCTAAAGTTTTTTAACATCATAACTCGACATTTCTAAAATATACGGTAAGGTAAATGTTTTTTATTAGATAATATATGGTAGCTAATAATAATTTATTCTCTTTCAGCCCTGACGAAGCCAAATTAATTCTCTTTGGCGAAAACGTTAGGCGAAATAATTGATACACATTTGAGTTTTCTTGCAGATTTCCCCAATATTTAAGAGTTTACTATATATATATATATATATATATATATATATATATATATATATATATATATATATATATACTTATATTTCCCAACCAAAGAAAAATAAATAAAAAGATCCATCGGAATAAAATTTTAAGATATCAGTATAAACAAATTGTACATAGTAATTTAATTGTATATAGTAATTTATATATAATTTACTCCAACTCTGTATATTCTCTAAGACACATAGGATGGAAAGTAAACATGCAAACATTAATAATCTTAACATTTATAGAGTTGGAAGTTGATAAAATTATTAGGAAGAAAATTATAAGTATGATAATATTTTTTCGAAGACCCGTTAAGTTGGAAAAAGTAGATTAGAAATAGGTATAAGTATGATAATATTTTTTCGAAGTCCCGTTAAGCATGAAAAAGTAGATTAGAAGCTTACTGTAATGTAAGCTTACATAAAGAAATCAATTCAACACCTGTAATGGGTACAGTAAGTAAAGAACCCAAAGTCGAAACCTTACTATTACATTTGTTACTATTTTATTTATAAAAATGGCATTGAAAACTTACGTTAGGATTTCTGTTGTAGTTACATTGGAGCAATCCGAAGATCTTATCAGCAAAAGGCATGTTTTCTGAAAATTAGTAATCATTGTTAGTAAATGTTAATCAATAACAGTGCGATAAAAGCTTTTTATCGTATTGAGTTTGCCTCTGATAAAGGTAGGAGTTGTTTTTTAAAAAAATATTTCAGATTAGCTTTTACGTTTCATTGATAATGATTGCGTGTTTGATATAGTAAAAAAGCGCGCTGCACAGTAATAACCATTGTAAATAAATTTGATAATTGCTTCAAAATAATAAAACAAATAACCAAAATGAGTAATCATGTTCTTAGGTGCAAATGTCCAACTTCATCCTACGAGTAGTCAAAATAATCACAAGTTCATCAAAAAAGAGACATTAAAGATATAACACAGGAAGCAACGTCTTTCTGAATTAAGGAGCATGTTTCTGTATTTAAAAGTTTTAATTTAGTCCTACTACTAAACACAATCTATTCCACAGAAATCATTCTACGTGAAATGCTGCCAATCACCATTTATTTATCTACCAAAGAAAGTAAATGCCAAAGAATGTAGTGATTATCGAACGATCAGTTTAATGTCACATACCTTAAAATCCCTGCTAAAAATCATCCATAATAAAATACACGCAAATATATTAGTGATTTCCAGTTTGGATTTCCTCTGACTCATAAAAAGTAGCTTCTTTGTTAGAAATTATGTAAGAAAATTCTGCTTCAACATTCTTTTTTACCTTTTCCACAGGAACAAGGTTTTTAAACACTAAAATCTTAAAACGTGGGTCCAAGAATGTTGCCATTGCTAGGGTATCATTATTTTCAATATTCATCCTTTCTTTGAGGCCTCTTTGCAACTTATGAATGACCATATTGGCGATCAGTGACATCTCCCTATTGAGAAGCTCCTGACAAACATTTTGTAACCCCATCGTGATTATTATCACCATCGAAGCTACTATTTTACAAATGTTACATTTTGCAATTTGTTTTGTTGGATCCGCAACGAAAAAAAACCCATACAATACTGATACGCCTATTCATATTGTCGAAGTTTATAAAAATCACTACAAAACTTGACACTGACTTATAGTGTGCCACAACAATTGTGAAAATAGATTTTACCCAATGCATTAAAAACCTCGACAGGGCGACAGGGTTCAAGAATCAATTCCTCGAAACACGCACAAATATTCCCTCTCCTAGTTCGATCGTTTGGATTCGTTAGATGCAACGCAACACAACAGTTATAGCACAACTAGGAACAAGCTAGCGGTGATCGGTAATCAATATAAAGTGTTTTCACGTCGGAATCAAACACTCGTATTAGGTTTCTGGAATAGGTACGTATTTGGAATAGATTCAGTTCCAACCTATTACTGAAAATGCTATTCTGTACCATCCCTAATTCAATCTGTCCTCGAAGAACATTTTTAAGAGGCTCTAAAAGATATTGATGAAGGCGTCTCAGTTATGGAGTCAAGCTCAATAACCTGCGGTATGCAGATGACACAGTAATGTTTTTTCAATACCATAGAAGAGCTGCAAAACTTAATGAACAAAATAACGAAAACAAGTAGAACATATGGACTGGATATAAAAATCAGAAAAACCGAGCTAATGATCATCAGCAAGAGAAAAATAACTGGTGTAACTAAACTGGAGTCGTAAGACAATACCCAATAGATTAAATGTAGCATCGAAAAGGTAAAAAGTGCATTTTTGACTATGAGCTCTGTAATCAAAAGCCATGACCTTACCCTAGAAACAAACATAAGGCTCCTTAAATGTTATGTGTACTTAGTACTTTTGTACGGAGTACAAACGTGGACATTGAAAATGGAAACTCCATCAAAACTTCATGCTTTTGAGCTATGGTTACACAGAGGGTTCCTGGAAGTTCACAAAAAGTACTACAGAGAATGAACTTAACCACAGATTTGGTCAATATCGTGAAGGGCTGTAAGCTGCAGTACTTGGGACATGTAATAAGAAATTAAGGCAGATACGAGCTACTACAATGCATTTTTCAAGGTAACTTTGAAGGAAAAAGGGGTCCCAGTACGAAGAAGAATATCCTGGCTTCCTGAGAGCATGGTATAGAAAAACCTTAACACAGTTATTCTATATAGCAACCACCAAAGTCATCATAGCCAGAATGATCGTTCAGAATAAATAGGCAACCTAAGAAGAAGAAAGCCTAAGAAAACAATCTAAATAATATTTAACAAGTTCCTCCTCTCCAAAACTATTTCTAAGTACCTCTTTACAGTGACTAGGTATACTTAATGTCGAGCATCTTAATATCGTCCAAATATCTTTCCACTCATAATTCTTGAAGTAGGTTACAAAATTACAATCAATTTCTCCACTTCTAGTCTAGGATGGTACTTCAACTGGGTACTTCAACTAACTGGGTCAAATTCAGTGAGAAACTGGATAGGATTGTTAGATGGATTCCACCTACGAGTTCTAATTACCGTAGATTTACCAACGCCATTATAGCAACAGCCAAAAACAAGTACCACGTGGCTATAGGAAGGAATAAATTCTGTGAAAGAATAGCGACCTACAGTAACTCTTCCCAAAATGTCAACAGAGTGCTAATCTTGGACGAATTTCTTAATAAGCTAGACATTGAACTGTAGACTTTAAAAAATCAAGTAGGAAAGCACAAAGTTGTCTAAAGAACTTATGCAGCTCCAATCCTTCGCCTTGTGAATAATAGAAATATACAACCGACCAAATATCTGCACAGATTATAAAGCTCTTCAAAGCCACAAAAGTTGAAAAACACTACACCGCGATTAAAAAAGATCTTGGCCAAATAATCGTAGCCCACGCTGAATATTCTAAACATTTTAAAATGGAGGAGGTCAGTAAGGTATTGAACGATACCAAATCTGGAAAAGCACCAGGATTTAATGAAATCCACGCTGAATTCCTAAAATATTGTGGATAAGTAAATTCTACTATGTCTAACTGGTAAGCAGGTTTTGTATGTTTTCAATAAAATTGATAGTGTGTAAAATATTTTACACACTATCAATTGTATTGAAAACATACAAAACCTGCTTACCAGTTAGACCTATTTAGAAGTGTGTACAAGTCTTACAGTCTTTTTCAATAAATTCTACTATGACATCCTTAGAACGGGATGTGTGCTAGCGGGTTTCAAATAAGCAAAAATGATTGTAGTTACTCAATAAACTTAAAAAGGTTGTGAAGAGCTACCATCCGATTGCGCTTTAGAGCTCATGCAACAAATTACTTGGAAGGTTTGTCGTGAACAGACCCAGCTTAGTTATTCTGAAGAGCAGATTGGGTTACGTTCCCATCATAACCGCATATATCAAGTACTTAGTCTTACCACACATAAAGAAGCTGGTTTTCAACAACACTGAAAAAGTACGGTAGCTTACATTGATCTAACTCCTTCTTACTATACAGTAGGGAGGGACGAACTTATCTTGAAATGTTTAAAACTATACCATGTAACCGAGTTGCTACCCTGCCAAGAAATATGCTGTGTAATAGGTCTTTTTAAATAATAACTGGAGGCAGTTACATGTTAAGGAAATTGTAAAATGGGCTCACTGAGAGATCGGTGCTGGTATCAATCCTTTTTAATCTGTATATCTGACATCCCTCCAACGATGGCAAATAAATATGTATATGGTAAAAACTGCAGATCATTTAAAAACAAAGACCGAACCAAACATCATCAGATTTACCACGAATAGAGTGTCGCAAAGCTAAAGAACAGTGGCTGTGTGCAAAAATGAAGGAATTGAAAGAAAAACATGACCACTTTAACATACATAAACTCGTTGAAAAAGTGACGAATCATACAAAATCTTGCAGTTTTAACAGTATTGTGAAGGACAATAAATTAATTACTGACCCCAAGGATCTGCTTCCACATTAGAGAAACTACACAGAGCAGCTATACTCAGACAACATTAGAAAAAACTGTGAAAGTGAATATAAAAGTGAACCCTCCCCTAAAATATTGAAGTTAGGAGTTGTAAGGGTAATCAAACAGAGAAAATGGGGAAAAGCATCAGGGGCAGACGACATATACATAGATGTTCTAACACTGTTGAGTGAAAACAATATAGACACCTTGGTAAATCTTTTTAATGACATTTATGGGTCCGGTCGGATACCACAGGACTGGCTTCAATAACCTTTATACCAATCCCAAAAAAGCCAAACGCTATTAGTTGCGACCAATTCCAAATAATCAGCTTATTGAGCCAGGTCCTAACACTTCTTTTAAAGATAATTTACACAAGAATATACAAGAGATATCAGAGACATTAGGCCCACACAGTTCGGTTTCAGACAAGGATTTGCACAAGAGAAGCACTTTATAGCTTAACTGTCCTACTTCAAAAATGCAGAGATCAGCAAAAACATGTCTTTCCATGCTTTATAGATTACCAGAAAGCGTTAGATTATGTTAATAATTCAGCATTAGTAAAATTACTCCAGGAACGTTCGATAGATGAGAATGGCCTCAAAATCATAAAGAATCTTTATATGAATCAAGTTGCATCTGTGAGAGTGAGATTGGAATTTAAATCATATTTTTCAATCAAAAAAGGTGAATGACAGGGTTGTTTTCTGTCATCCCTCCTTTATATCTTTACTCTGAAACGATTTTGGATAGAGCCTTAAGTAACACTGAAGATGCAATTAAAATCAGCGGACAGACTATTAGCAATCTGCGCTATGTTGATAATACAGTCATAATAGCTGATAGCCAAGAAGCGCTACAACGACTAATAGAATAAACACTGAAGGAGAACGACTAGGCTTGAAGTTTAATATAGACAAAACGAAGGTAATGGTGATTAGTAGAACATGAAATATGCAATTAAATATAAGAGTAAACAATAAGAACATCCAAAACGTCCCCAAGTTCAGATATCTCGGTAGTTGGATAACTGAAGATCTAGATCCAGACATAGAGATACTGCAGAGCAGGATTAAGCAAGCCAGAACAGCATTTACTAATATGAGAGCCTTGCTAAGCAACAACAGCCTAAACTTAACGCTTCGATATCAATTTGTAAAATGTTACATTTACTCCATACCGCTATATGGTGTAGAAACCTGGACCATAAAGGCTTGAAGGATTTTAATATGTGGGTATTTAGAAGACTATTTAAAATTCCCTACACAGATCATACAACAAATGTCGAAGTAATAAATCGAATGGGCAGAAAACGAAAATTGCTGCCAATAACAGAAAGAAGAAAAACTGCTTATGTGGGTCATATATTTCGAAATTCCAAGTACCAGTTCTTTAAGTTTATTATGGAAGGGAAGATAGAAGGAAAGCGGAGCATCGGAAAAAAGAAATACTCATGGCTTAAAAACATAAGGAATTGGACAAACCTTGACACCCATGTACTATTTAGAGCCACACAACATCGAGAGAAGTATGCCAGAATTGTCGCCAACATCCACTAATTAGTAAGGGCACCATAAGAAGAAGAATGACTGATAAGTACTGACCACCCGCTGCAGCACAATAAAAGACTCTAGCAACATACTGGCAAACGCAACGAACGGGAACGAACTCACTGAAAGCGTGCAGATCAAAAGAGGTGTCCGTCAGGGGTGTAAATTATCCCCACTTCTATTCAATATGTATTCCGAGGAAATATTTAACAAATGTATGGAAAATGCAAATGACAGCATAAAAATAAACGGCGAGTTAACGAACAATATAAGATATGCCGACGACACGGTGATCCTTGCCAGTACCATAGACGAATTACAACAAGGAATGGAAAGACTTTATTCAGTTAGTGAGGAATACGGCCTGAGTCTCAACTTCAAGAAGACAAAGTGGATGCTGATAAGCAAAAAGCAACAACCTGCTCGACAATTACGGATAAGTAACATACTAATTGACCATGTAGAATCTTATGTGTACCTTGGCACCAACGTAAATGCAAAATGGGAACAGACCATAGAAATTAAGGCAAGAATAGAACGAGCTAGAGCAGCATTTAGCAATATGAAAAAGCTCCTCATAAGCAAGGATTTGTCTCTTCCCCTAAAACTACGTATAGTTAAATGCTACATTTTTCCGATCTTGCTGTATGGCGTGGACGGAGGCCTGGACGCTGACGGAGACGCTAACGAGAAAACTAGAAGCATTCGAAATGTGGGTGTACCGACGCATTCTTCGTATATCCTGGACCGAACATGTCACCAACATAGAGGTACTCCAAAGAATCGGAAAGGAGAAAGAAATTGTGAATACAATTAAACAAAGAAAGCTTGAATATCTAGGCTACATATTGAGACACGATAAGTACCGTCTGCTACAATTGATTGTCCAGGGAAAATAGACAGTAAGCGAGGTCCAGGCAGGAGAAGATACTCGTGGCTCCAAAATCTGCGGAAGTGGTTCGGGCTCACATCAGTCGAACTATTCAGAAGCGCTGCAAACAAGATCAAAATTGCCATGTTAATAGCCAACGTTCGCAACGGACAGGGCACTTGAAGAAGAAGAAGCAACATAATGGCAAAGGTTTTGTTAGGAAATATTTCAGTTATTAAAGGCTGATTCGAAATATGAATAAAATTAACGTTATCTGCTTTCATGTTAATAACAAGAAAACAAATAACGAGCCTTAAGTATATTTTAATAATAACCTGTTACGTTTTAAACCAAAGTCAAAATATCTAAGCCATCACAATGGATAAAACGCTGTTATTTAAAAATCTAGAAAACAAAAGAAAGAGGTGTCAGACAGGGTTGTATACTATCCCCACTGTTATTTAATTTATATTCAGATAGAATATTTAAAGAAGCGCTGCATAATTTGGAATTGTGCGTGCAAGTTAATGAAATTCTGATAAATACGATCAGATATGCAGACGATACAGTTATTTTAAGTGATGATATGAATGGATTACAATGCCTTTTAAATGCCATTGGTACAGTGGGGAGAGAGTTTGGCCTAAACATAAACTGTTCAAAAACAAAACACATGGTATTTAGCCGTTTAGCACATCAAGGTGCACGATTATATGCTGATGGTCATATAATTCAAAGAGTGTCCAGTTTTAAATATCTTTGTTGCCATATTACTGACAACTAGATCCAGATCAAGAGATAAAATGTAGAATCGAGATAGCCCGCACGACATTTTTAAAAATGAGGTCATTCTTCTGTAATGATAACTTGCAACTTCAACTTCGAAAGCGCCTGGTTAAATGCTACATTTGGTCAGTCCTCTTATACGGTGTCGAAGCATGGACATTAAAAATATCCACCATTAATCGTCTGGAGGCCTTCGAAATGTGGATGCACAGACGTATACTAAAAATTCCATGGACGGCTATGCTGACAAATGTGGCAGTCCTTGAGAGAGCAAATGCTGATCGCGAACTGCTTGATAAAATCAAATGTAGAAAGATGGCCTATTTTGGACACGTAGTAAGGGAAGACCGGTATAATATTCTTCAACTTACTATGATGGGTAAAATCGAAGGACGCAGAGGAATTGGTATAAAGCAGGCCTCTTGGTTAAAGAATATCAGGGAATGGACAGGAATAAAGAAAGCTGAGCAAGTATTTAGAATAGCTCGAGACAGAGACAGTTTGGCCATGTTAATGGCCTAAGTCTAGTCTAGTCTAAGTCTGGTCTACTCAATTGCCGAATACTGCACTACAATGTGGCCCAATAGCAGATACTAGTTACATGCATTTTATCTATTGATAATGAAAAGAAATACAGATAAGACTTTGCTGCAAAACCAACTGAAGTAATTTTAACTCCACAAGTAATATGAAGATGGGCAATCAAACGTGACCAAATTATAACTGTTTTGTATTTCGGTGAAGTGAATCATTTATGGAAAAATATGGTTTTATAATGAAACAATAATAAATTTTTAATAAAAAGAAACACTGTATTGACAAAAAAAGTCATCCTGAATTTCTGGTTATCATCTTAACAAAATTAAGCGAAATATTTTAGACAAAAGGGTTTAAACAAAAATTTAATATTGATTCAGACACAGCCAGACATTGGCATTGATTAACGTGTTCGTGCCAAGTTTCCAGCATCTCCACATGTAGTAGATAGAGGAACTCCTCAAATAATAAAGTACCAACGTATAAAACCCTCAGATCATTTATACTAAATTTTCCTAGTCTAAGTCTATACTTACTTTTTTCTCTAAATTCTTTAGCACACAACAAATAACCTATGTATTCGTCTTCCATAATTTTCCTGGGCATATAAATATCCAACATTGCCTTGTTCATAACCATATCAGCATTAACCTGAAAAACAACAATACTTAATCTCACAAACATATAAGTGGACTATGTTAAAGTCGACATCTCTTGAGACGGGATATAAGCTTCAATTAAAAATTTACTGCGGTTTCCCTTGTAATGCTGTAATTTTAATGTACGTGATCATCATCATCACCCAGCCCTTTGCGTCCACTGCTGGACATAGGCCTCCCTCATTTTTGTCCACTGTGCTCTGTTTTGGTTCGTGATACTAGATAAAAAAGACACAAAGTTTAAATGATTATAGAACTTCAATATGTCATATGTTTGTTATTATTCTCACGAAACTAACTGGGATTATGAATATAACTGTATATTCCTTTCTTAAACAACCCTTACGGAGAGCGTCTTTAAAATAACCTCCCTCAAAATTTAATTAGTCTGGTTCAAAGTTATAAAAGTAGTTGTACGACCTAATTCAGGTCAGTTTTTAGGTAGTTATCGTGGCTGGCGATCTTCCAGTTTTGTGATAAGACCCGCATTTTTTGTCGTAGAAATTATTCTTTCTCAATAAATCTATATTTGGTATAAAAAGTATGTTCCTTATCATTTGTATAGAGTTTCAAGGGCGCTTCACACTTTCAATAGCGCCCCACATATTTTGTTAGTTTTTGTCCTTTGCCAAGATGCACCATTGTCTTTTATTTGTTATTTTTTATTTAATTGTATCTTTACCCGCTCCCAATAAAGCTCTCGAATTGAGCAACGAGACCTTCGCAAAGTCTTTGTGAACGATCAGCTTACCTACTTCTCTAAGCTTTCTCGTTACAATGTTTAAAAAATAAAGAAATGTTTTATCACGTACCACTTTAGATTCTAACCAGACACAAGCAGCATAGTTCTGAAACAAAAAAATATATAAAAAATTTAGGTTTGTTAAAATATAATCGGTTTAAAGCTTAAAATGTTTTAAATTTAAATAATATTTAACAACTAAATAATAAATTAGTTAACTATTAACAGTGTGAATGTTTAACTGTATTGATCTGCATGGGGAAGGCAGCGTAAGAGGATCTGGTATGATCATGTAAGACGAATGGATGAGAATAGACTCCCAAAAATTGCCCCAAAAAACAACCTGCCCGGTTTAAGACCTCCGGCAAGACTACCTAAATAATGGAGGGAGAGTTGGCAATCTACTTCTCAGGAAATTAACCAGAGGAAATAAACAGATAGAACAATCTCCAAGAAGTAGAAGTAGAAGAGGAAGAAGAAGATCTGCATGATAAACTAGATATGGCAGTGAATGTAGCCAGATATAGCAAGGTGATTGAATTCCCCAAGTGCTTGCCGGTATGATCAATCTCTCATTTACTGACCAACAGTTTCCTGCAGATGAAACGATAAGTGACGAGGCACTCTTTTTCCTAAGGGTTGAAAAATGGGCAACAACAGTGAATGAACCAAAAATTTGGTCAATCAAATAAGGATGTAGAAGGTAAGGGATATTAAGTAATTGTTGATGATTAATAGACAATCTAATAAATTTGATAAAGAAATGGAGACGCCTGGCCCCTCGAAGGTTTTTAAAACTCAAAGAAAATGAATGGAAATAAGAAAATGTTAAACTTCTTAAAAAATACCATATTCAAACACAAAAAATATTACAAAACTTGTATAGGGGAAACCGGGGGAATACTGCGCACGGGGGAATATCGCGCATCAGTAGCTTGGCAACACGGCGTAAGTATTGCAACATTCAACACAGTGCGTTGTCTCGTACTTGCTAGCCGACCACTTGTGTGTAATATGACTGCATTCGTAGTATTGGTGACCCATAAATCCTAATAAATTCTCTGAAGATGATTTCAGCTTAATAGATCACACTGAAGTTTCAGATATGCACGTTGTAATGCACTTAGAAACCGACTTTGTCAATGATGACAGGGCCTTTGATCAGTCGAGATGTGACGAAACTCTGCAGAGAACTCCACCGAGAAATACCGAACCCCAACCGGGACCATCGAGATGTGATGAAACTATACAGAGAACTTCATCTAGAAATACCGAACCCCAAACGGGACCATCGAGATGTGATGAAACTATACACAAGTGACTCCATCTTATAATGCCAAATTGAAATCAAACCAGCAAACTGCACCCCAGCCTGGAACGTCAGAAAATATTAAAACTCAGTCTAGTATACCCATTGAAAAGCTAGCTCCTCTTAGTTCCAAATTTATAAATAAAAGTTCCAAATCACGTGCAAAACAACACTCAGAAATTTTCACTTACACGCCACTAAAAACGCAATTAGAAATAAAACAAGAAAAAAAAATATTAAGGAAAAAACTAAAGAGGCCAAAAAAAAATGAAACGAAGAAAAAAACGACAGGAACCGTAGGAAAACTGGCTAATAAAGCAAAGAAACGACCTGTACGCAAGAAAGCTGGAGTTAGAAGCTTACATTTTGATGATTCTGAGTCTACAAGTTATGATGAGAGTAAGCTTTGTGATGATGATGAATTAGATGATGTAGATCTAACATTAGAAAATGAGGAGTGTTTGGTGTGCGGTGAATTCGGACGAGACAAAGAAATTTGGTACCGTTGTGTAATGTGTTATTTGTGCCAAGGTCAAACGAAAGACAGTCAGAAAGTAAAATTATCTCTTTAATGTTTTTTTTTCAATTTTGTCTTAAAGAAATCTGTTTTGTTTACAATATTTGTTTATTACAATAATGACAGTTTTTTAAAGTAAATTTTTTTCTTCAAAATCCGTTAAACTTTAATCCTATTTTTTATAGGAATAATGTTCCCAATAGATACAAGTTTCAGTAGTTAAATTATGGAAGTTTGTTTGCACATAGGACACTTTTTGTAAGTATTTTACTTTAGGTGCGCAGAATTCCTCCGGTTTCCCCTACAATGACAACTTTGTAAAAAACTCCTGTTGTTACACTGTCAACTTCCTGTCTTTAGAAACTTACTGTAAACGTGAATACAAGTAGAACATAGCAAATAATAATTTTGATAAATGATTTAAAATAATGATTAAACTAGGGGATAGACTTTGTGTAAATCATTTGCACAATATTTGACAATATTTGGTGATGAATATCTAAAACTATTAAAATCTTATATTTTCTAACTAATTTACTTACCTTAATAGCTTGGTTTTTTGTATCGAAGTGTCCTTGTCTTACTCTATTGATGTCTTCTTGGGTTACACCGGGAATGTAAATTTTGCAGTTGTCGTGCCACGTTTGAAAGTCTGTCTTTAATGGTTCATCGAAATTCTACAAATAAATAATATCAGCAAACTGTGACTACGAAAAATATTATGTATATAAAGGGTGTCTCTTGTAGTTCAGTTAAATTGTATTTTTGCTAGGAGAGTTTTGGGGTAGTTCTGATTTTTTCATTCCATATGTTTTTTGGGGTGCTTAATCCGAATCTGGGGTTTGCGGACAAAATTTCGTGACGCAACATTAAAAAAAAAAACAGAATAAACCGTTTTTTTTTCTTTTTTCGGGTTTTTTGCTTAAAACTCGAAAACTATCAACTTTTGGTAAATGGTCTGTTTACAGAAATTAAAGTACTTGAAACTTTCTACAAATACCAGTATTTAGTTTTTTTTTTCAGACGAATCGTTCGGTTTCTAATACGAGTTGAAAATTGTAAATTTTTAGCAGTTTATGCAAAACCCACTTTTTACATTTCAATATTTAATTTTTATGGATGCTGTCATTTAATAAATGTCACCTGGTTTTCCACACAAGTAATTAAAAAGAAAAAAGGCAAAAATTATGCAAATTCAGTAGGTAGGTAGAACTCGTAACAAAATAAAACCTAAAATCTCGTTACTTATGATCATATATTATTATGATTATAAATTATAATATGCAAAATTTATATGAGCTGTTGTCTTTTGGAAGGCCCTGGCTGAGGTTCTTTGATAACGATGAGTCCTGGTTCTGCTTGTTCCGGAAAATAAAAGTTTAAAGTTAAGTAATTTATCCTTCCGCATCGTACTGAGGTTGTTCGATGGCATCAGGTCCTGGCTCAGGGTCTGATTGCTTCATCGTCAGCGTCGGGAGTCGTTTTTCTGGAAAATATAAAGAGGAGAGACATATATCATATATCAAGGAGAGATGAATGACTACAAAATAACTTGTCAGATCCAACATACCTCTCTCTCTTTCTTCAGTTTCTTCTACGTCTATGTCAGAACTGTCTTATGGGGGCTCAACTTTGTTACACAGTCCTTCGCATGATGCGCATATTGGGGAACAATGGAGTCCCGCCTTCCTGCATCCACAATTGCGTTGACAGCCTTTTTTACATTTACATGAAACGTACCGAAGTATTGAGTTTGGTGCAGGGTCCAAAGTAGTTGGTACTGGCACAAGACCACTACTAGTTTTTTGCCATCCCCACTCACTTGGATCTTTTTGTTGCTCCTTAGGTGTGGCTTGACCGGATAACCACTGCTGCACCTGATAGTAAACTCTCAGTGAATGTTCTCGTACAGCAGCTTCAATTGGGGGCAATGAGGAAATGTTGGTCTTATTTTTGAATGAGGAAGATACATACTGTTTATATCTTAAATCGTTTAGTTTTGTCTCTTTTTTTCTATATAGAGCTGAGAGAAACATATTTCCTGCTGTGGCAATCTCAGCTTGACTTGAATTAGGGTCTTTGAAAGCTTCAATTACCGATTGAAACTTTTGCTTTGTTCTTCTGCAGGACTTTAAAAAATTTCAGTTTCCCTTGATTAAACAATGCAAAAGTAGTATCACAACCACTCATCGCATGCAGGAATAAAATATGATCCAATAGAATTTTCTCAGCAGCCAGATGAGGGTTGTATAGGCTTTGCAAAACCTTTCCTTTTCCTGGCTTAAAAAAATACATTTTTTATATCGGGGCTACAAAGGCCAATCAAAATGACCAGTAGGTCGATATCTTCCCACACCACTGTCACATGTTCATTTGACGGGGCCATCCCAAGAGCTGTTGTAATAATTAGGATATCAGAATCTTCCACAGCTTGCTTTGAATGAATTTTTGCATCATAAAGTTTCTCCATGAACATAGATATAAACCGGCTCTTGTTTTTTGGGTTTGCAAGAAAACTATCCTGCGACACAGTGGGCACTATCATTTCTGTGAATGATATTGCAGCAGATTGTTTTCTTTGTGCTCTTCTCAATCGTTCTAAACGATGGTGCTACCACAAACCTCGTCAGGGTAGCCATAAAAAAACCAAAATAGCACTTGATTTGTAGTTTGATTTGACATATGATACATAACTGCTGCATATGTTTGACCTTAGCGCCATTTTACCCGGTATAACAAAAAACCCCCGTCGATGACATATTTTGTATCGTTAAAGTCAGGTGTAAAAGCCTTGTACAAACTGGATTTTGTTCCTTTCCTCATCCCATGCTCATCAAAAAGAGCAAGAGGATAGGGGCTAAGTTCGTAATGTAAAAATTTTTTGCAGCTCTTTATCTGAATGTTTCGCGATGGTCATTCGTTGAAAAAGTGTGATGGTATTGTTATCTACAGCCCTGTCTTGTATTTGAATGGAGCTGTTCATGATGACCAAATTCATGATCATCTCCAGAAACTTGGATGCATTTGAAAACTCCACCATAACACTGAATAGTAAATCCATAGAAAGAGTGAGTAAATTTAAATACCTGGGATCGTGGCTTTTTGAAGACTGGGCATCGGACAGGGAAGTAAAATGTCGCATTGAGCAAGCTCGACAAGCTTTCATAAAATTCAAGAAGGTACTGACTTGTTCTGAGTTCGATCTTCAACTGAGACTAAGGTTTACTAAGTGCTACGTATGGTCAGTGCTGCTATATGGCGTAGAGGGCTGGACACTTAAAACGAGGGATATAAACAGATTGGAAGCTTTCGAAATGTGGCTTTATCGCCGTATCCTAAAAATACCATGGACAGCGAAAATCACAAATATAGATGTCCTTAAAAGAATAAACCAAGAACGCCAACTTTTCGAAACCATCAAGAAAAGGAAAACGGCGTATCTAGGTCACATCATGCGAAATGAAAAATACCAGTTCCTCCAACTTATAATCGAGGGTAAAATTGAAGGCAAGAGAGGAATGGGACGCAAGAAAATGTCCTGGCTCCGAAACATAAGGCAATGGACAGGGATTAACGACATACAATCTCTGATACATATTGCAAGAAATAGAGAGTTAATGGAAAATGTGATCGCTAACATCCATTAGTGGATTTGCATCTGAAGAAGAAGAAGTTCATGATGGCAAGAGGCAGCACTCTTTCCCTTCTTTTAATAGTGTGTATGTGTGTGTGCGGTGCCGAATGCCGACCGAGTGCCATCCAGTTTATAGTACGCTAGTGCGCGCTACGCGTACACACATACTACAATATCTACAACAGTTAAGCACATTGTTGCCGTTTGGAATGTAAAGCGGCTTCAACTGCTTTTTAACTGAGTTATTTTGATTTTTTGCAATCTAGCTATAATATTTTAGTCAAAACGTGAATTATCCGTGTGACTCGGTCTTTATTTTAATTAACTTAAATACTAGGGGAAATTAACTGAAAACCTTTCAATACAAATCTAAAAGTGGAATTTGCAGTCACACCGGTAAAAATTGCCAATTTTCAACTTGCACTTGAGACCGAACGGTTCGTCTGTACAATAACCAAAATAATGACATTTGTACAGAACTTTAAGTACATAAATTTCTATAAACAGACCATTTACTAAAAGTTAACAGTTTTCGAGTTTTAAGCAAAAACCGGAAAAAAGCAAAAAACACCGATTTCTTCTGGTTTTTTAAATGTTGCGTCACGAAATTTTGTCCGCAAACCTCAGATTCAGATTTAGCACCCCAAAACACATATAGAATGAAAAAATCAGAACTTCCCCAAAACTTTCCTACTAGTATTACTTTACAGTACAAATTTACTGAATTATTGTTCCAATTAGACTATATAGAGAAACTTGATATAATCTGAGTCTCAAAATTATGATGGAGGGTTTTGAGATATCTATGTCTAAATAATAAAAAACCATTTTTAAAAATTCTTTCAATATCAGGTTATGCTATTTTACGTCGAATATTTACCAATACCATGACCAATTGTCGATTTGACACCCTTTATGTTTATCTTTATTTTCATCTTTAAGTAATAAAATTACGATTATCTTGTTTGGTTAATTTTTATTTATCTAAATATTAATAAATCTTTAATAAACATTTTGTAAATGAAATTTAATAGACAATTGATCACCCTGTTTTGTTAACGACTTACTAGACCTAAATACTATTTTAATTATTATTTTTATTGGGAATAAGTCTTAATTTAAGTTTAAAATAGGTTTACTTTTGACATTTTGGTTTCCACTTTGAAAATCGTTCTCAAGATACAAACATTAGTAAATTAAACAAATTTTATTTTTTTGTTACTTAATGAAAAATTCTTTTAATTATTTAATTTTATCTGACTCATTTATATTGATAATTCGGACATATATTATACATTTTAAAGTAGACGACTTTAAAATGATATTGCCAATATTGCTGAGTTGCGTTCCTGGGACGGCTTTAGTGTAAGATAGTTTATTCGATTACATAAAATCAACTTTAGCTTGAGAATATCTGTCAGAAAAATCGTAGCATGTGATTCGTCTTTAAAAAGACAACCACTTGCCATAGACTGTAGTAGCAAAAGAGACTAAACGAAAAAATTTGTTAGTTCCGTTTTAGACAGTCATTGTAAATTTATCGGCAACGGTGTACTAAGCAGATAAAAGTAAATTTTATTTTTCTCCTACTAAAATCCCAAATATTGCGATTAGTAGCGAAAAATAATTTAAGGTTTGTTTACATAATGTGAATTTAAAAAGGCGTCGTAATACCACAGTGAGAAATTTCTGGGAAAAAAACTCGCTTTCGATAAAAACTAGTGTTTGAAGTGATAAAGTAAGTAAGGTTATTTACAATTTGAAACAGTCATACTGGTAGATCTCTGGCCGTTAGTTTTGCGACGTTGCCAAAGTTAAAAATAGTTCTGCAAACTGAGGACTAACAGGAACTGGATTTTTGAGCGGTTAAAGCGAATCTAGTTCCTTTCGCGTCCTTAGAAACCGATATGGTGCACACAGATAGTGATGATAATGTATCAGAAGGCAAGAAGAGAAAGTATAGAGGGTCAACTTGGTGAAGGGTGCCTCCAAAAACTGCCTGAACTCCAAGCAAAAGAGAACCAAAGGAAGAAGATTCAGAGG